AAATTAACACAGTTCCAAATGCTAAAATTTGGACAGTTATGATAACTGTAGTTTATCTGGGAGGTGTTGATTGAATTTATTGTACATAATTTTCAAAGAATTAATAAAACAGTTAATGGACATATGCTCCTCATGCAAGTGTCTTACCTCAATCAGTAGCAGGTGAGGAAAATGCCCTCCATTTTCCCGTACATGGTTAAATAAGAGTTAAAGTGCATTTTAACAGCCATGATACAAAAAAGCAATGCAGACGGCTCGTTAATGCCGCAACTACGTGCCATCCCTGAAGGAGCATAAATTTACACCGCGGGCAGTACAGTGCAAACAGCTCCTAATCAACTCATCACCTCTCATCATTGCTGGGATCAAATGCAAATGGGAAGGAATGCCACTTCAGTCACTGCTAGTGAAAATTAGCATCTGTGACACTAATGGTGTCTCATTCTGTATGCACTTTAGATTAAAAAGAACCTTTTTACAAAGCTATTTCAAGAAGTGCCAAAATTCCAATGTTTCCCTTTCCAATGACAGTGGTATTGAATCTCCTTAACTCGCTGCAGACCTCAGTTCAAATGTATTTACACAGATTACCATGCACAGATATATTAAGTCCTAGAATACTTCCAAATTTATCTGTGTGGTCCATTCCCTTTTTCTTTTGAAACTTTCTAGCATGTTCTCTCACCTGGAACAAAGGTTGGCCATGAAAGAAAATAAGCTTTCTAGGAATCTTGGACAATCCTTGGCACAATGGAGTTGTTCTTTACCACTCAAAAATTAACTAAAGGTGGATTTAAACACATATACACAAACGACTGGCTACCAAGAGTCACAGTGAGTAGACCTGGGAATCTTTTTTTCTACATATCTGCTCAGAGCCTACTGCACTGGAAAGCTTAGCAAAGAAGAAATATGCAAGGCCTCACTTTCAACACTGGGTAACATTTTTTAAAAAAAAAAAAAACCACGTGGTGAGTAAGAAAAAAAATGTATACAATTCTAATTGCTGAAATTTAGACAGATAGCGTACCTGCAGAGCAGAGAGTTCATAGATATAATTCCTGAATTTAGTTGGAGGAGGAGAGGTCACTAAATATCTTTTCAAAGTACAAAAGTTTCTAAATATGGGCTTTCCCTGGTGTCTTTATAACTCATCTGACATTTAAAACAGACAGTGGCAGGACTGTCACTGACAGTGGCATTAAGACATCCAGTTTTGTAGTAGTGGAAACTGACACCATATGTTTTTCATGACACAATTTTTTATCTATGCATTTTTGGCTAAGATAATTGATTTTGTTTAATATAAATAATCTTTCGTGTGTTTCTGTTCCTTCATTTATGATGCTATATAAGCATTCTCTCACAGAGTTGTAGCAAACATTAGGGTAGAAAATCTGAATAGAGCAACTGTTATATAATACAATTAATAATAAACAGAGGCAGCAAAAATAAACATTAGACATGCATGAGAAAAATTAGGCCCTATAATTATTTGAGCATTTATAGATCATATAAACTATGTAGATAAAAAGCTTATTGAGACTGGGAGTGGAATATGGTTACACATCTCTAAACTGTCAGCATTGAGCACTAGTACTGAAACAGTAAAAATAAAACTCAAGAAGAAAAGTGTGGTGGATGAAGAGAGGTTATTTTTAACTACTCTACATGTAGAATGTTTAGCCACTATTCACCAAGTTTCATTTTTAATTGGAAATTACTTATGTGACAAATAGTTCTGGGGCATGCTAAACTTGCAAGAATTTGTTAACCTCTGATTATATGTAGTTAGCTATTTTATAATATATCTTTATGTATTCTTGGGTATTCAACAGGAAAGATTTTTGGTTTCTGAGTCTCAACCAATATTTTTAATGTTTTATAACATATTTAAATGCCATTCATCTCACATATAAGCTACTTGAATAAAATAAGCTATAGAAAAAACATAATAGATCAGCACATCATCAATGATAAAATAGGATGTGGCATAATTATAATTTGGCTTTAACACATTGGTATGTCTACTGGAAAATATTGTAAACAAAAAATAATACATCATTTTATATGTAGTATTCTCTAAAAATCTATTATTGCATATTGGTTTAATTAATATTTTTAATGTCACCATAAAACTTACTAGAAAATATTAAATAACAAAGCCTATTTCTCTAACTTTATTTTTAGCTGGTATATTAAGAAAATAAAAATTGTACAAATTGTGCATGTGTCTGGTGATTTGATGTAATACATGTGCAAGGCTTGCAAATGTTTAATCAATCCTGTCTCTGTCTTTCTCAAATATTCATCGTCTTATTTCTTGTGTTGGGGTGTGGGTGTGTGGTGTGTGTGTGTGTGTGCACATGTGAGTGGGTGTGCCGCTGCCTGTGCATGTGTATTTATGTGGAGGCCATTGGACAGCCTCCGGTGTCCTTCCTTCTCAGACCCTGTCTGCTTTGGATTTGAAACAGTGGTTCGCACCACTTGAGTCTTGCTGGCTCGGCCAGGCTTCTGGCCAGCGTGCTCAGGTCAATGCCTGTATTTGCCTCTCCAGGGCTGAGATTACTAGCAAAGACACCACACAGTCCTTTGTTTACATAGGATCTGATGGGAAAAAATGAGGTCATCTCAGTTGACTAGAAATCAACTTATAGACTGAGCCGTGCCTTCACCTCTACCTTATTATTCCATTAGAAGATGATACATTTTAATTGCAGAGAGTCATTATATGCAATCGCATCCCAGGACTTCTTATTCCCAGCTAATTCAGTTGCCACCAGTATTCCAGTTAAATAAAAAGTTCATTAGGTTTCATTTAAGGTAACACTAGGTAGAATAGGTGTCTCCTGTGTTTCTGGTGTTAGAGGATTAAACCTATGGACACAGCAGGTTCTATATCATACAGCTACATCCACAAGCCTAATTTTTGTAGGTTTAAAATATGCCAGGTGGGGAGATAACATTTCCCTCATTTTTGACATCACAATAAAAAAAAAAAAAAAAGGAAATCCCCTTTGTACTTGTAAGAGCACAGCACAGAGAATGAATGCCTGTGGGTCAGGATATGAAAAATATTATCTGATAGATAATCAGTACAAACAGTTACATCCTGTATTTCAGGCCAGTTTCTTGGTAGCTCTGCTGTGTCTTTCTAGACAGGCGTCACATTCCCTTTTTGTATGTGGAGTTTGTACTCCTTCAAATAGCCGTCCGTGTAGGGATAAGACTAAAATGTATTCTTAATAACCCCTATGGATTATACCCTTTATTCATAAGGTAGTGAAAAGTTTTCTGTGGTAAAATAAATATGAATTAGTAGGCGGTGTTTCTAAGACATAGTTATAGTAATTGGAGGAATATTGGTTTCATGTAGAAAATTTAAATGTCTGTAATGTGACAAATTTGTGTGATATATTTTATTTTCAGGTGCATCAAACATATTTTTATTTTGTATTTGTGGAAGTCAACAAGATGATCAATGGTTCAAAGGTGCTTTAGTAATTACTGTGATTAAGCCCACTGCAAATAATAAAAGATCATTTTGAAAAGAGTACAGTGACTTGAATATATGACACAGAACAATAGTTTTTATGAAATAGTCAAAAGTCATATTTGAAACATTTTCAGAGAAACAACTATTTGATTTTAATTTCTGTAATCTCTTCCAAAGCTATTGTCAACTGAATATTTCATTTAATCAGAGATATTTTACATAAAAATAATCATATGAAGAAATATAAGTAATACTTTCAAAAACTTTTTTTATATATTTTGGAATGTGTTGCTTCGAAATTTTATTTTAGTAGTAAAAAGACAGAAATTGCAATATATTATTCTGCTATACTTTTATAAGATGCTTGTCTAACCTTTATTGGATTTTTGTATTAGAAAAAAATAATATTGAAAATCATCTAGTCTAAGTTTCCTACATTTGGAAGTAATTTCTTCTTATTTTACTTTAGATATTTTGGAGAGGATTGCATGCAACCTCAATTCCAAAGGAAAATCAATTCCCAAACTGTTTCTCTGACAATGACAAATAAAAGCTGATAACAAAATATAAAGTCTGTAAAAACACTGAGAATCAACTACTATAACATGATTGAATTTCTTGAGAAACTTTAGTAATGCATAAATAAGACAGAGATTTTGATAACATAATTTCATACTAAAGAAATTAATGCTACTGGTAAGACTAGTGTAGAGTTCTATGGTAAAATAGAAACTTTGCTTCTTCTATATTATTTTTCATGGCAGTTGTTTTCAAATGAAAGAATAAAAGAACATTCTATATAAGACTGGCTTATCAAATTTACTAACCTATATATTTTGTTGCTTCTCAAAATAGGACACAATTCTTTCTCTATTGACAAATGTAAAAATGCATGTCTACAACAAAGTATCAGAGTTTAACATTCAAAATACAAAAAGAAAAAAAAATAACCCAAAACTTCTTCATTTAACAGTCTTTTTACAATTATGTATTTTTAAATGTTTAAAATTTAAGAGATGAAATAATTCCTTAAATATTCTGGCTAGACTTTGAGCAACCAAGTAATGGAAAATGATATTACTCACTAAGCAGAGACCACCAAACCGATTTCCATAAAATTATCTAAACCCAACCTTCGCTACCAACATAAATGGCTGAATCTAATACACAGTTGTGAAGACCGTAATTGCCCATTGGCGCCTAACTTTGGCATTTGAATTCTTTCTATTTGTATTTTGATGCGCTCACCTCTCCTTGAACTTAGTGACAGACAAAATGTCATGTATGTAGTGGAGGTGATGGTGTAGGGCGTGTGCATGTGTATGTTTTTGTGTGGCTTGTCGTGGTGTGTATGTGTGTTTTTAAAAATGTGTGTGAGTGAGGGGGTTGGTGTGTGTGTGTGTATGCAGACACAGTATGTGTGTGTGGTATGCATTTGTGTGTATGTGTATGCTTCCTAGTAAGAAGTTTTGCTTTACTTAAGAATGTTAGAGAATCACCTTACCTTCGGTTTTTGTTGTTTCTCCTTCTCTGAGGCATTGGATGGCTTCCTCTTGAGCATTTTGAATTCAGGCCACCTCTAGTGAGCACAGTTTCTGCTGTTACAGAGACAACTGAAAACAGGCGGCAGTTGCTCTGTGGTATACAGCATCTGATAGCTCTGAGCCTGGTGATATGACACTTCCTCCTTCGGTCAGGATGTGACTTCAATGTCTGCTTGGGTAAAGGCTTCTTCTCCCCCCCCCCTCCTACATTACTGTAATTATTTGGTAACTCTATACTGCCTTCTTGGTGCTATGTTCTATGATGTAATTCCTATCTCACAATTATTAGGGGTATAATGGTTTGAAAAGAAAGTTTATTTTCTCAGTTTATATAAAATAAAATAATTTAACATATTAAATAGGAAAGTACAAGAGGAGAAGATTTGAACTAATAAATGAAATCAAACAGAATACTGTGTATTTTAATTATGAAAAATTAGAGACTATTTAGAGAACTCAACTTTGTAATTTTACGTTTTTTTACTCTTTGAGGTAATAATATAATTACATCATTTCTTCCCTTTCTTTTTGTCCTTCCAAACTTTCCCTTGTTCCTCACTTTACTCCCTCTCAATTTCATTGCCTATTTTTCTTTAATGTGACATATGTCTGTGTCTTTCTAAATGTATGATTTTACATTTCTAAATAAAGATCTATTTGAAGTTAAATAATATTCTTTCTAAACTACTAATATGTAGTGTATAGATTAAATTCACCCAACTGTAAGTAAGATTATAACTCCAGAGATTAATGACTAGGCATAGGTAACTTATTTTTATACTTCTAAAAAATGTATTTTTTTTCACTTTATATCCTGATTGCACCCCCTCCTGACCCCCCCAATCGCCCCTCCATACCCCTTCTACTCATTTTCCAAGGAGAAAGTCTCCTATGAGTACCATCTCGCCTTGGCATGTTAAGTAGCTTCAGAACTGTGCTCATGCTCTCCCCCTGAAGCCAGACAAAGCAGCCGAGTTAGGGGAATGGGATCCAAAGGATAGCATCAGAGTCTGAGAAATCTGCCATTATAATTGTTAGGGGATCCATATGAAGACCAGAACCAGTCCATGCATGATCTTTGGTTGGTGGTTCAGACTCTTTGAGTCTTCAAAGACTCAGTTTAGTTGACTCTTGTGGAGTCCTTGCCTCCTCTGACTCCCTCAATCATTCCCCAACCCTTCCATGTGAGTCCCCAAGCTCTGTTTAACATTTGGCTGTGGGTCTCTGCATCTGTTTCCATCAGCTGCTGGAAGAAGCCTTTTCGAAGAGTTATGCTAGGCTCCTATCTATAAGCATAGCAGAGTAACATTAATAGTGTCAGAGACTGATTCTTTCCCATGGGATGGATCTCAAGTAAGGCCAGTCTTTAGTTGGCAATTCATAGGTAATGTTTTAAAAGCAAGCGTGTCATTGTTATAAAACTCTAATTAATTAATGAACCATTTTCTGCTACATGGTATAATTCTGTATTCTGATAATTCCTTGTTGTTAGTTGATGTCACCGACTTACCAGTGTTCCCCTCAGATAAGGCATCCAGTGTCTACTAAGCAAGCCTAGAACAGCACCAATATGTCTTAAACATTTTGTGAAAAGCCAAATTCAGATATCCAGACTTACAAGAAGCTCTGAAAAATGAGGCCTTATCTGAAGTACATGTGTAGCGTGTTTTAAATGCTGGGTCTATTTAAATGGCTGCTTCAAGACGAGTTATAGTGTCTGCTCATAGACTCTTTGGGTTAAAAACAGTAGAGCCTTCAGATCCTACTGTAGGATCAGAAGGAAGGGGAGGAGGACTTCTGGTATCAGTGGACTGGGGGAGGGGCACGGGTGGAGAAGAGGGAGGGAGGGTAGGATTGGGAGGAGGGAGGGAGCTACAGGTGGGAGACAAAGTGAATAAACTAATTAATAAAAATAAAAAAGAATAAAAAAAAACAATAGTGCCTATTCTCAGTAAGAGCTTCTCGAGGTACCATTGCTCTGGCCCTGCTTTCTCAGTGTTCCCTCCTACATCTGTACCTTCCTTCCTGAGCCCATGTGACATTCACTAATTCACTGAAGATAGACTAAATTGAGTACCCATTATTTGCTGTTGGACATAGCGGGCACTCAATTTATGTGCTTTATCAAACACTTTTGCTAACAAGACCAAAAGGATATTTTAATGCACTACAGTAGAATTGGGTAAATCATTTACGAGGATTATAGTGAACAAACTGGTGCAGTTATTCACAGCAGAGGTACTTTGAGAACTAAGAGATTAGTATTTCAAGATACTGACAGGGGAATAACACCAGAAGACCGAAAACTCTGAGGCTGGGTAATTCCCTAGAAGTGTGCCTTTCTGTAAACTTTCTGGGCAAGTCTCAGTGAACCTAAGGAAATAAATTACTCTATCATCTAAAATATTCATAGTCATAAAAATACTTTCTTAGCTGAAACACTTGTGCTCCTCCATTTCTTTGTCTAATAATTCATCAGTGGAAATTGATCAGTTCAATGACAAGGTAATGGCGGTGCCTATACATGAAAGTTTCACTGAAACTAAGAACTAATGTCAGTATAGCCCACACTTAGGCAACATCACTTCACAATAGTTTTGCATCAAAAATTATTTGTGGATACTGAATGAACATTAAAAATCAGTTATATTTGGAGTATTTTCATAGTTTACATTTTTGTTATGATAATTAAAATATAGTGATTCCTCAAACCCCAGTGCCCACAGTGTGTGTGTGTGTGTGTGTGCATGTTTACAGTTTAGATGGAGTTACACATGTGCTAATAATGCTCTCCTAAGAGCCACAGGCCCCTAACTTAAACCTCCCTGGAAGTCATAGGAAATATCCTTTGAGTTCTAGATTTGTGGCATACTCCAAAAGACTCACAAATACCTATGCTATTGTCATTATCTTTGGTCACCTCACAGAGTTCGAGCATAATACCGTGTTGATGAAGATACCGCACACTGCAGACACAAGACTCAGATGAATCAGGCTGGAACTGACCTGGACCGCCATCCTGGATGGTTCAGATAGCTCTTGTAGTGCCAGCTTGCATCTGCAAGCTGCCAACAATTAGTTGCTCAGGAAAAAACAAACAAACAAACAAACAAATGTCCAGTGGTGCATCCGTAGCACAATCATCTTGGAGATAACCAGGAGCTATGTCATTGGACCTCAGGTCATGCATGAGTGCCTGACTGGCACTGTCAGTCAGTGCCAACATGGCCAAGTGCCTGTGTGTGGCTGGAGAGGTCATGGACCCTAGAGAAGAAACTACTATTGTCATTTTCCTAAATTAATATAACTTCTAACTGTGTTCGAATACTTATTCTTGTACCCAAAGTGTAGCTTTAACCTCCCACCAAACAGCTTCATTTTGTAGCAGGTGATGGCTACTACAAAGACCCAGAACTGGTCAAAATGTAGGGAATAAGTTACTGTGGGATGGCTAACCCTAACTGGTACATCTACAATGCAACCTCTATACCTAGGGTTCAGAAACTTAGTGAAAGATGTACGAATATAAAAGCCAGAGGATCAGAACACTTGCTGCTAGATATATGTATATACACATACACATTATATACGTATATATATATACATATACAAACATATAGGTATGTATGCATGTATATATGTTGAACTTAAGGAACACACATTAACATATATTAATTGATTAATACATATATTTATTTTAATTAATAATAATTCATTTGATAATATGTATTATTAATTAATATATTAATGTGCATGTTTCCTTTCAAGACATTGCTGTTGGCAGGTTGTCCAAATGCTTGCAAATGTAGTAATTGGATTGAGTAGATTATAAAAAAGATAAAAGGACATGGAGTTGTGAGGGGTATCTGTTCAGCATCTCAGAGAAAATGAGAAAGGGAATCAGGTTTATGTGTAAATCAAGCTTAATTGTATGCACATATAAAATTATTAAAGTATAAATAAGTAAACAATATCATACTTAAGCATTCCATATAACTATATGTTTATATTTCTAGGCATTTGACCAGTTCTAATTCCATAAGGAATATTTAAAATGTAAATAAAATCAATATGTTAAATTTATATACGAAAGAAGGGACTCCAGTCTTTCATTTATTTAAGAAAAATGTTCTCACATAGAATTCCATTCACTCTGCCCATCAGTTGGCCATCAGGCTCAGCATCTGCTTTGACAGTCTATACAACAGAGGCTTTCAGAGGCCCTCTGTGGCAGGTTTCAAGGTTGTTTCCTGTTTTCTTCTGGCTTTCAGAGGCCCTTTGTAGCAGGTTCCGAGGTTGTTTCCTATTTTCTTTTTCTTCTGATGTCCATCCTCTTTGCCTTTCAGGACGGGGATTGAACATTTTAGTTAGGGTCCTCTCTTTTGCTTAGTTTGTTTAGATGTACAGATTTTAGTGGGTTTATTCTATATTGTATGTTTATATGAGTGAGTATATACCATGCGTATCTTTTTGCTTCTGGGACAACTCACTCAGGATGATCCTTTCCAGGTCCCACCATTTACCCAAGAAGTGGGAAATAGTAAGAGCTGGAGGGGACGGGAACTCCACAAGGAGAGCAACAGAACAAGATAATTTGAACACAGGGAACTTCCCAGAGACCCATACTCCAACCAAGGACTATTCGTGGAGATGACCTGGAACCCCTGCACAGGTGTAGCCCATGGCAGTTCAGTGTCCAAGTGGGTTACATAGTAATGGGAAGAGGGACTGCCTCTGACATAATCTGATTGGCCTGCTCATTGATCACCTCCCCCTGAGGGGGGAGCAGCCTTACCAGGCCACAGTAGAGGACAATGCAGCCACTTTTGATGAGAACTGATAGACTAAGATCAGAAAGAAGAGGAGAACCTCCCCTATCAGTGGACTTGGGGAGTGGCATGCATGCAGAAAGGGGAGGGAGGGTGGGATTGTCAGGGGAGGAGGGAGGGGCTTATGGGGGGATACAAAATGAATAAAGTGTAATTAATAAAAAAAATTTTAAAAAAAGAATGAAAAAAAAAGA